ATGCAAAGTCATATTGTAAAGAAATAAGTAGCCCAAGTGAGAAAACTCAGAGCCAAGGCTGTTGAGTGTTCTCAAAGGGGGGAGTTGTTGGGAACACTGGGGCATGGCCACTAGGTAACTCGAGGGGATGGAAGACCACGAGTGTCGATGAAGCCCCCTCGCACTAGGCCCCGGTGTCCTTGGCCCCCCCTCCTCCTGCCTGGAGGCACTCGCAGCAGCTCTGCGTGCTAGGCCCAAGTGTCCTTGGCCCCCGCGCCTGGAGGCACACACAGCAGTTATGCTGAGAATCTGCAACAGTATGTTGCAGAGTCAGACTGCCTGAAACTAAGCAAGGCCAAACAGGGGAGATATGGAAGAACAATGCTGAATAAAGCAGCTTTATGTATAGTTTAACAAATAATACAGAGAATCAGGGAACTAGCTGGGAACTGGATTGGCTGGCTATATGGATACTTGGGGCAGCTTGCTATTGGATAAGTATGCTGGGAAAAAGGATGTATAAAAGCCTGTGTAACTTCCTGCTCTGTGTGCAGGATTTGAGATTTTATTCTCCCTGTACCTTTTTGCAGCTGCAAATAAACTTTTCTGCTTCTCCACCCCGTTGTGATTATTGGGTGCAGCACACCGGGTAACGAACCAACTCAAGCTGTTGTTCAGCCTCTCGGCACTGGGTGCCGGCAACAGTCCTGTGGGGTTTGCTTATCCAGAACAACGGTAACGCGAATGTGGGGACAGGGACGTGCTGAGTCCAGGGGCACAGGAGGGTGGCAGCTTGGAAATGCTGCTCGACCTGGCCTGCTGAGCCCAGGGGCGTAGAAGGGGTCAGCGTGGACGTGCTGATTGGCCCGGTCCTCTCAGACGCGCTCTGTTAAGGTGGGTGTGTTGGTCTGATTCTGGGGCTGGAGGAACCCAGCCCGGGGGCACCTCGGTCCTGCAGGAAGCTCCACTGGGAGGGGCCTTGCAGCAGGGAGAAGCAGAGCTCCGTGGGAGAACACAAGTGACACAAGCAGGACATGGATGAAATTACAGACACCCCCCACCCCCCGCTGCCAAAGAGTAACCCTAATAAATGAACATACCCCAAAGTAAGGGGCAAAGCTGGTAACACTAGAGAAACGTATTTCCCGTGCCTCCTCAGAAGCCGTTATAATGCCACTATAGAAATCCTTGAATGCTGTGGACAGTTCTGGTCGCCCCATCTCAAAAGAAGAGATATTGGAACTGGAAAAGGTTCAGAGAAGGGCAACAGAAATGATGCGGGGTATGGAATGGCTTCTGTACGAGGAGAGATTGCAAAGACTGGGACCGCTCAGCTAGGAAAAGAGCAGACTAAGGCGGGATATGACAGAGGTTTCTAAATCTTGAATAGCGAGGAGAGAGGGAATTGGGAAGTGTTATTAACCTCTTCACATAACACAAGAACCAGGGGTCACCCGATGAAATGAATAGGCAGACGTTTTAAAACAAACAAAAGGAAGTATTTCTTCACACACTGTACCGTCAACCTGTGGAACTCCTTGCCTGGGGGTTCTGGCAGGAGGGGATTAGATGGCAGGGGTCCACACGCACAAAGGGGTAGGGGGAGGAGGGGTGATTTGGGGAACGTGTATGCAGGGGCGGTATGGGGTGCAGAAGTGAGTGTGACGAGGTTAGGCTGGGGGACCAGTGTCTGTGGGAAATTGGAGGACAAGAGACTGGAGGCAAGTGCAGCGCCCACCCCGGTTGCCTTGTGCGGCTCTGGCTGAAAGAGCTGAGATGCAGTCGACTGGCCCGTGAGCCCCAGCATGGGATAAAGCAGCCAGCATGAAACCAGGGAATCTGGCCACAAGTTCCAACTCCAGCAATGACCTGAGTCTGCTACGTCAGCTCCCCCAGCCAGGGCCACTCCCCAGCCACGGGCCACTCCCCAGCCACGGGCGACTCCCCAGCCACGGGCCACTCCCCAGCCACGGGCGACTCCCCAGCCACGGGCGACTCCCCAGCCACGGGCCACTCCCCAGCCACGGGCCACTCCCCAGCCACGGGCCACTCCCCAGCCACGGGCGACTCCCCAGCCATGGGCGACTCCCCAGCCACCGGCCACTCCCCAGCCACGGGCGACTCCCCAGCCACCGGCCACTCCCCAGCCACGGGCCACTCCCCAGCCACGGGCCACTCCCCAGCCACGGGCGACTCCCCAGCCACCGGCCACTCCCCAGCCACGGGCGACTCCCCAGCCACGGGCCACTCCCCAGCCACGGGCCACTCCCCAGCCATGGGCGACTCCCCAGCCACGGGTGACTCGCCAGCCACCGGCCACTCCCCAGCCAGGGCCACTCCCCAGCCACAGGTGACTCCCCAGCCATGGGCGACTCCCCAGCCACGGGCCACTCCCCAGCCACGGGCCACTCCCCAGCCACGGGTGACTCCCCAGCCACCGGCCACTCCCCAGCCAGGGCCACTCCCCAGCCACGGGCGACTCCCCAGCCACAGGCGACTCCCCAGCCACCAGCCAGTCCCCAGCCAGGGCAACTCCCCAGCCAGGGCCACTCCCCAGCCACGGGCGACTCCCCAGCCACGGGCCACTCCCCAGCCACGGGCCACTCCCCAGCCACGGGCCACTCCCCAGCCACCGGCCACTCCCCAGCCACGGGTGACTCCCCAGCCACCGGCCACTCCCCAGCCACGGGCCACTCCCCAGCCATGGGCGACTCCCCAGCCACCAGCCAGTCCCCAGCCAGGGCAACTCCCCAGCCAGGGCCACTCCCCAGCCATGGGCGACTCCCCAGCCACCGGCCACTCCCCAGCCACGGGCGACTCCCCAGCCACCGGCCACTCCCCAGCCACGGGTGACTCCCCAGCCACCGGCCACTCCCCAGCCACGGGCGACTCCCCAGCCACGGGCGACTCCCCAGCCATGGGCGACTCCCCAGCCACCGGCCACTCCCCAGCCACGGGCCACTCCCCAGCCATGGGCGACTCCCCAGCCACGGGTGACTCGCCAGCCACCGGCCACTCCCCAGCCAGGGCCACTCCCCAGCCACAGGCGACTCCCCAGCCACCAGCCAGTCCCCAGCCAGGGCGACTCTCCAGCCACGGGCGACTCCCCAGGCACCGGCCACTCCCCAGCCACGGGCGACTCCCCAGCCACCGGCCACTCCCCAGCCACGGGCGACTCCCCAGCCACCGGCCACTCCCCAGCCACGGGTGACTCCCCAGCCACCGACCACTCCCCAGCCAGGGCCACTCCCCAGCCACGGGCGACTCCCCAGCCATGGGCGACTCCCCAGCCAGGGCCACTCCCCAGCCACCGGCCACTCCCCAGCCAGGGCCACTCCCCAGCCACAGGCGACTCCCCAGCCACAGGCGACTCCCCAGCCACCAGCCAGTCCCCAGCCAGGGCAACTCCCCAGCCAGTCCCCAGCCAGGGTGACTCTCCAGCCACGGGCGACTCCCCAGGCACCGGCCACTCCCCAGCCACGGGCGACTCCCCAGCCACGGGCGACTCCCCAGCCACCGGCCACTCCCCAGCCACGGGCGACTCCCCAGCCACCGGCCACTCCCCAGCCACGGGTGACTCCCCAGCCACCGACCACTCCCCAGCCAGGGCCACTCCCCAGCCACAGGCGACTCCCCAGCCACGGGCAACTCCCCAGCCACAGGCGACTCCCCAGCCACGGGCGACTCCCCAGCCACCAGCCAGTCCCCAGCCAGGGCAACTCCCCAGCCAGGGCCACTCCCCAGCCAGGGCGACTCCCCAGGCACCGGCCACTCCCCAGCCACGGGCGACTCCCCAGCCACCGGCCAGTCCCCAGCCAGGGACACTCCCCAGCCACGGGCGACTCCCCAGCCACCAGCCAGTCCCCAGCCAGGGCCACTTCCCAGCCACCGGCCACTCCCCAGCCACGGGCGACTCCCCAGCCACCGGCCACTCCCCAGCCATGGGCGACTCCCCAGCCACCGGCCAGTCCCCAGCCAGGGCAACTCCCCAGCCAGGGCCACTTCCGAGCCACCGGCCACTCCCCAGCCATGGGCCACGCCCCAACCAAGGGTGACTCCCCAGCCTCGGGTGACTCCCCAGCCAGGGCCACTCCCCACCCTGTAACGAGCTGGGTAGAGTTTGTTTTCGTCCCCCCGGCAGGGCTGCTCCGGGGCCCAGCTCTGCCAAGGAGACACAGGCAGGGGAAGGCCCAGTAACGCTGAACAGACTGGAGCCTAGCTGGCGCTGGGGGTTCGGCTGCTGGGGGAAGCTGGCAGAGCTGACGGGGCAGAGCTCGGTCTGGGGGCTCTCGCCGTGTGTCCTACATTAACTTGGCGGGATTCCTCCTAAGTGGAACAGTAGCTGGGGACACAGGACCTGCGGGATAACGTCGCCAGTGCTGGGATGGGGGGTACCCGGAGTGCCAACTATAAGAACATCCGAGCGGCCAGACTGGGTCAGAGCAAGGGTCCATCCAGCCCCGTGTCCTGTCTGCTGACAGCAGCCAGGGCCAGGTGCCCCAGAGGGAATGAGCCGAACAAGGAATCGCCCAGTGATCCATCCCCTGGCTCCCATTCCCAGCGTCTGGCAAACAGGGGCTAGGGATACCTGGCTAATAGCCATTGCTGGACCTGTCCTCCAGGAATCTATCTAGCTCCTTTTTGAACCCTGTTATAGTCTTGGCCTTCACAACACCTTCTGGCAAGGAGTTCCTGTATGGCTCATATGGTTTGGCTTCTGGGGTGCTGTGTTCTGGCAGGGAGGGGTGGGGTGTTTGTTGGGATGGGGGGCTGTTCTGGTGGGTCAGTGGGATGCGGTCTGGCAGGGTGGGGTATGTTTGGGTGGGGTGGGGGGTGTTCGGTTGGGGCAGGGGGGGCACGTTCTTGTGGGTCGATGGGGTTGTGATGTTGTGACGAAGCGGGACCTCTGAATAGTGTGGGGGTGCCTCAGTTTCCCCTAGGCAGTTCAGAGGAGAGGGGATAGCTCAGTGGTTTGAGCATTGGCCTGCTAAACCCACGGTTGTGAGTTCTTAAGTCTCTAGGGGGTGGGGTAAGGGTGTATGATCATTGCAGAGCCCTAGAGGGCAGGTGTGTGCAGGGGTCTGGACACAGAGAATGGCCGACACCCTGTTTCCTGGCCACTGATGGCCTGGGCCCTTCCCCCCCTGCAAGGTGAGAGCTGAAGGGTTGGAGAACAAAGGAATCAGGTGACCTCCTGGCCCGGGAAAGGGACAAAGCCCAGAGGAGGAGGGGCTGGAGGGAGTTTCAGTTTGGGGCTGGCTGGGACATGGAGTGAAGGGCAGACGTGGTTGTCTGACTCACTGCCCCCAAAATGGACCCAGCTGAGGGGTCCTGTTCTCTGCACCTACAAGCTCTGTGTTAGACCATGTTCCTGTCGTCTAATAAACCTTCTGTTTTACTGGCTGGCTGAGAGTCACGTCTGACTGCGGAGTTGGGGGGCAGGTCCCTCTGGCTTCCCCAGGACCCCGCCTGGGCGGACTCGCTGTGGGAAGCGCACGGAGGGGCAGAGGAGGCTGAATGCTCCGAGGTCAGACCCAGGAAGGTGGAGCCGGGGGAGCTGTGTGTCCTGCAGACAGGCTGCTCCCAGAGAGGAGACTTCCCCAGAGTCCTGCCTGGCTTCGTAGGGAGCCGTTCCAGAGCATCGCCTGGGGACGCCGAGACAGACGTGTCATTCCATATTATTCATGAAATATGCTTATGATATGAATACGACATAACTGAGATGTACTCTATGCAAGATGGCTCCTGGGAGAGCTCACTGGAGAGGTTGTGATTTACTGAATGGGAATATCCAGCGGCCGCTGTGTCTGAAGTTAGGAATATTGACTATGTATTTGTATTTCAACTAAAAAGAACAGGAGGACTTGTGGCACCTTGGAGATTAACCAATTTGAGCATAAGCTTTCGTGAGCTCCAGCACACTTCATCGGATGCACAGAATGGAACATAGAGTAAGAAGAGAGATACACACACACATAGAAGCTGGAAGTTGCTGTACAAACTGTAAGAGGCTAATGCATTAAGATGAGCTATTATCAGCAGGAGAAAAAAACTTTTGTCGTGATCATCAAGCGGGCCCATCTAGACAGTGGACAAGAAGGCGTGAGGAGGATACGTAACTTCGGGAAATAGATTCAATAGGTGTAATGACCCAGTCTCTGTTCCAACCCAAGTTCATGGTATCTGGTTCACATATTAGATCCCATTAACTCGGGTTTGAATAGAGACTGGGAGTGGCTGGGTCATTCCACAAATTGGATCGATATTGAATCTTTGCAACCTGCCTGCAACAGTATCTAGGGGGAGAAATACTGTTTGTCACCAATTTCTTTAGTGCGACTAGCTCAGTTTGCGTGTTTGGTTTCATTTGTTCGTTATCTGCTTTGTTCTGTTTGTTACCCTTTTACCACTTTAAAAGCTGCCTTTTAGAGTTAATAAAACTTGTTTTGTTTATTATTAAACCCAGTTTGTCATTTCTAACTGGGGAGGGGGGAAGACGTGTGCACACCTCTCTCCACATAGAGGGAACGGGCGAATTTCGTAATAGATCCGTGGGTCTGCACCCCAAGGGAGGGGACATCTGAGGACCGGAGCAAGTCTCTTAAGCTGAGTCTTCCCAGAGCTGATCTGCAGCTGGGGGTGGCCTTGCCTGGGTCTGAGTTCAAGGAGGTTTTCGGAGCCTGGCTCAGCAAGACAGGTTAATGGGGGCCCAGGCTGGCAGAACAGGTAGACTCGGGGGTATCTCAACACATCCGTTGGCTTGCCAAGGGGTCCAACCTGACACAGGGGTCTGCTCTGGCAGGACAGGGGGTACATGCGGGGGGGGGGGGGGCACTGCACTATGTCACACATCAGGCAGGCGTGGGGTAGGGGCATCCCCCCGACACTTGCATTCACTCTGGTTGGTCCCTTTCTCCTTAGACCCGTCCAGGCCTCCTGGAAACTTGCTAAATTCATGCTCTCAGTGACCCCCCCGCCGCCTCTAAGCAATGGGGCAGGGGACTTCCCCGAGGCAGGTCGTCGTCCCCCCCCCACAGGGCGCCTTGTCCCTCCCTTAGGGACTCCCTCCCCTGCTCCTACGCCCTGGAGCTCTCATGTCCGAGGGTCCAGGGTCCGTGGTTGTGGATTTGCCCTGGATCCTGGTGTCACCAGCAGGGTCACAGCCAGTCCCCCTGCGTCTCCCCTGCTCGCAGAGATCCTGGTGCCCCTGTGGGCCGTGCAGCCCGGGCCGAATCCTTGACCCTGGTGACGGGGTGGCGTCCTCGGCGGGTCCCTGCAGCCGATCCCAGAGACCAGGCGAGAGGCTGCCTGTCGGAAAGGAGTTCGGTCTCGGGGTGTCTCAAGGAGCGGGACCAGAAGCGCCTGTTCGAATCCGTCCTGGCCGAGGAGTGAGCGAGACTCCCCCCCGTGCGCCCGCCCACTGTGGGCCCAGCCCCCTCTCCCCAGGGAGACGCGCGCTCCGTCCCGGGGCTCGGATTCCCTTTGGTTCCCACACTGAGGGGCTGCGGATCCCCTGCCCAATGCTGCGCCCTGGGCGGTCTGCGTGGCCCCCCCGGCCCCCCACCCATGGGGCTGCCAGCAGCCGGCTGTCGTCACGGGTATTAATAGCCCGGCCTGACCATATCAGGGCTTGTTTGGGCCCCTGCGGCCGCGCTGCTGACAGGTGCACTGGCCGGGGGCCCGTCCCTGCCGCTGGCTCGGAGCCTGCCAGCCCCTCGCAATCTCACAGGCTCGGGACCTTCTGCCCCCGGGAGCCCGGTGCCGGCCGTGGGGCTGCAGGGTACGGCCGGGGTCCAGGCCTGCCCCGCCCGGCTCCCACGGGGCAACGGCGCCTCCAGGGGTCCCGGCTGCTTCCAGCTGTCCTGGGGCCGAGTCCCCGCAGGGCCCCGGGGCAGGGGGCGATGGGGCGCCCCTCTTCTAAGGCCCGGGGGCCCTTTGGCCTGACCCCCCACCTATGCGCTGGGCTCCCAGCAGAGCCCTGGGGGTGCCTGACCCACAGCCCTGGGCTGCTGGGGGTGGGCTCAGGACGGGCCGGCCCCGGCCCTAGCCCCATGGATCTGACCCAACCCCCTGCGCCCCGGCTGTGTGCCCTGCCCCCCTGCCCCACGGATCTGACCCAACCCCCTGCGCCCCGGCTGTGTGCCCCGCCCCCCCGCCCCACGGATCTGACCCAACCCCCCTGCGCCCCGGCTGTGTGCCCCGCCCCCCCGCCCCACGGATCTGACCCAACCCCCCTGGGCAGTGTGCCCCGCCCTCCTGCCCCACGGATCTGACCCAACCCCCTGCACCCCGGCTGTGTGCCCCGCCCCCTGCCCCACGGATCTGACCCAACCCCCCTGCACCCCGGCTGTGTGCCCCGCCCCCGCCCCACGGATCTGACCCAACCCCCCTGCAGTGTGCCCCGCCCCCTGCCCCACGGATCTGACCCAACCCCCCTGCACCCCCCCCCCACCCCCCGGCTGTGTGCCCTGCCCCCCCTGCCCCACGGATCTGACCCAACCCCCTCACCCCGGCTGTGTGCCCCGCCCCCTGCCCCACGGATCTGACCCAACCCCCCTGCACCCCGGCTGTGTGCCCTGCCCCCCGCCCCACGGATCTGACCCAACCCCCTGCCCCCCGGCTGTGTGCCCCGCCCCCCTGCCCCACGGATCTGACCCAACCCCCCGCCCTGACCCAACCCCCCCGGCTGTGTGCCCCGCCCCCTGCCCCACGGATCTGACCCAACCTGCCCCCTGCACCCCGGCTGAGGATGCCATGCCCCGCCCCCCGCCCCACGGATCTGACCCATCCCCCCCGGCTGTGTGCCCCGCCCCCCTGCCCCACGGATCTGACCCATCCCCCCCGGCTGTGTGCCCCGCCCCCCTGCCCCACGGATCTGACCCATCCCCCCCGGCTGTGTGCCCGCTCCGCCCCGCCCGCCCCACAAACCTGACCCCCCGCCCCAGAACTACAACTCCCGGCAGGCCCCGCGCGAGGCCGGAGGCGCTGACGTGGCCGGAAGTGGAGGCGCTCGGAGCCTCGCCGAGACCCGCCGTCACCCCGGTAACGGGCAGCCCAGGACCCCCCCGGCCCTGCCGCTCCGACCCCCCCCGACCCCCCCTTCTCGGTCCGACCCCTCCCCCCAGGGGGGCGCCGCGCGTAGCGGGTCGGGGGGGCGGGGTCCCGGGGGCGGGCGCAGGCCGGGCTGGGGGTCTCGGGGGCGCCGGGGGGCGGGGTCCCAGGCACTCGGGGGGCGCCGGGGGGCGGGGTCCCGAGGGCGGGCGCAGGCCGGGCTGGGGGTCTCGGGGGGCGCCGGGGGGCGGGGTCCCAGGCACTCGGGGGGCGCCGGGGGGCGGGGTCCCGAGGGCGGGCGCAGGCCGGGCTGGGGGTCTCGGGGGCGCCGGGGGCGGGGTCCCAGGGCACGCGCGGGGGCTGGGGGGGGCGCCGGGGGGCGGGGTCCCGAGGGCGGGCGCAGGCCGGGCTGGGGGTCTCGGGGGCGCCGGGGGCGGGGTCCCGAGGGCGGGCGCAGGCCGGGCTGGGGGTCTCGGGGGCGCCGGGGGCGGGGTCCCAGGCACTCGGGGGGGGGGGGGGGTCCCGAGGGGGGCGCAGGGGGCTGGGGGTCCGGGGGCGCCGGGGGCGGGGGGGGGCGCCGGGGGGCGGGGTCCCGAGGGCGGGCGCAGGCCGGGCTGGGGGTCTCGGGGGGCGCCGGGGGCGGGGTCCCGAGGGCGGGCGCAGGCCGGGCTGGGGGTCTCGGGGGCGCGGGGGGGGGTCCCAGGCACTCGGGGGGCCGGGGGCGGGGTCCGAGGGGGGGAGGCGGGCTGGGGGTCCGGGGGCGGGGCGGGGTCCCAGGAGGGGGCGCCGGGGGCGGGGTCCCGAGGGCGGGCGCAGGCCGGGCTGGGGGTCTCGGGGGGCGCCGGGGGCGGGGTCCCAGGCACTCGGGGGGCGCCGGGGGCGGGGTCCCGAGGGCGGGCGCAGGCCGGGCTGGGGGTCTCGGGGGGCGCCGGGGGCGGGGTCCCAGGCACTCGGGGGGCGCCGGGGGGCGGGGTCCCGAGGGCGGGCGCAGGCCGGGCTGGGGGTCTCGGGGGCGCTGTCCCAGTCGCTCTGTCTCCCCGGCAGGTCTGTGAAGATGCTCAAGGCCGTGATCCTCATTGGGGGGCCGCAGAAAGGTGAGACCCGGCCCCTCGCCCGCGTTGCCGGCCCCCTGGGCTCGGCCCCCGTTCCTCCCGCGCCGGGGCAGGGGTGGTGTCCGCCCCACAGCGCCGCGAGTCCTGCCCAGGACCCGCCGGGCGCCCTCCCCTCGCTCACGCCAGCCGCCTGCCCGGCCCCCGCTGTGCCCCGGGGCCTCGCCCCCCAGCAGGCTCCGCTGGCTTTGGCCTCTGCCGCGGCCGGCTGGACCCTGAGCCGCCACCGGGGCCTCGCCCCCTCTTCCCTCCGCCGTTGCCTCACCCCCTTTGCTCCACGCGGCTGCCAGCCCGTCCTGCTCCCCTCAGCCCTGCAGCTCATCCCTTGGGGCTCAGCCCCCCAGGCCTGGCCACCTTGCCTCGGCTTGGCTTCCCTGGCGCTGCCCAGTGGCCGCTGTGCCTGGCTGATGCTGGGCTGGCGTGGCTGCTCTGATGCGCGCGTGCACCTGCCTTGTGGCCCTGGCATGGGGCGCGGTGCGTGGAGCGGGAGCTGCGGCTGGCCCCGAAAGCTCCTGGCTGCCTGTCTGCTGGTGGGAAGGAGCCGACCCAGGGGTCTCCGGGGGTCTGTGCAGCGCCAGTGAGCTGGCCTGGCCGGGAAACCCTCCATGTCTGCTGTCCCCTGAGCCCCTCATTCCTTCCCTCAGGGACTCGCTTCCGGCCCTTGTCCTTCGAAGTCCCGAAGCCGCTGTTCCCGGTGGCAGGGGTGCCCATGATCCAGCACCACATCGAGGCCTGCACCAAGGTAACGAGCCAGCCACGTGCAAGGGCTGGGCCCACCTGTGCGGGGCACAAGGGTCGTCTCAGCTAGAGAGCCCGGGGTAAATGCTAGCCTGAGCCCATGGGAGGGCGAGGGCAAGTCCTGGCCCTGGCGGGAGGTGTCACCTGGGGCTGGGGGCTGGGTTCTCTTCTCACCTAACCGATGTGTGTCCGGCCCCCCAGGTTCCAAGCCTGAAGGAGATTCTCCTCGTGGGCTTCTACCAGCCCACCGAAGCCCTGAGCCGCTTCCTGGTGTCTGCACAGCAGGAGTTTAAAATCCCCATCAGGTGGGTGGGAAGGAGCCTCCTGCCTGGGGCCCATGGCTGGGGGCTTTCCATGCTGGGTGGGAGAACGACCACACTGGGCCAGACCAAAGGTCCATCTAGCTCAGAATCCTGCCTCTGATTGTGGCCAATGCCAGGTGCCCCAGAGGCTAGGGACACCGTCCCTGCCCATCCTGGCTGGGAGCCATTGACAGATCTGTCCTCCAGGAACGTATTTAGGTCTTTTTTCAACCCTACTGTAGTTTTGGCCTTCACAACATCCCCTGAAAACCAGTTCCACAGGTTGACTCTGCAGGTTGTGTGAAGAAATACTTCCTTGTGTCTGTTTTAAACCTGCTGCCTTGTAATTTCATAGTTCTTGTGTTAGGAGGAGTAAATGACACGTCCTTAGTCACTCTCTCCACACCCGTCATGACTTTATAGACCTCTTTCATATCCCCCCTTAGTCGTCTCTTTTCCAAGATGAAAAGTCCCAGTCTTACTAATCTCTCCTCATACGGCAGCCGTTCCATACCCCTAATCATTTTTGTTGCACTTTTCCAATTCCAAAATATCTTTTTTGAGATGGGGCGACCACATCTGCCTGCAGTATTCAAGGTGTGGGCATACCAGGGATTTATACAAAGGCTACAGGATATTTTCTGTCTTCTTATCTCTCCCTTTTCTAATGGTTCCTAACATTTTGTTCGCATTTTTGGCTGCTGCTGCCCATTGAGCAGATGTGTTCACAGAACTCTCCACAGTGACTCCAAGATCTCTCTCTTGAGTGGTAACAGCTAATTTAGACCCATCATTGTATATGTCTAGTTGGGTTGATGTTTTCCAATGGGCATCACTTTGCATTGATCAACACTGAATTTCATCTGCCATTGTGTTGCCCCGTTACCCAGTTTCGAGAGATCCCTTTGTAGCTCTTCACAGTCTGCCTGGGACTTCACTATCTTGAGCAGTTTTGTACCATCTGCAAATTTTGCCACCTCGCTGTTTACCACCTTTTGCAGGTCCGTTATGACTATGTTGTACAGCACTGCTCCCAGTACAGACTCCTGGGGACACCACTATTTCCCTCTCTCCATTCTGAAAACTGACCATTTATTCCTCCCCTTTGTTTCCTGTCTTTTAACCAGTTACCGACCCATGAGAGAACCTTCCCTCTTACCCCATGACAGCTCACTTTGCTTAAGGTCCTTTGGCGAGGGACCTTGTGTCACGGAGTGTGGGGGAGTCCAGGCCCTGCACCCCTCTTCCTGGGATTCACTGAGACTCTCAGCCAGCCAGTAAAACGGAACGTTTATTGGACACCAGGAACACAGTCTAAAATGGAGCTAGTGGGTACAACCAGGACCCCTCAGTCAAGTCCTTTTGGGGGAGCAGGGAGCTTAGACCCCAGCCCTGGGGTTCCCTGCGTTCCACCGCCCAGCCCCAAACTGAAACTAAACCCCCCCCAGCAGGCTCCCTCCTGCAGTCTCTGTTTACATTCCTGGGCAGAGGTGTTATCTCCCCCTTCTGGCTCAGGTTACCCGCTCTCAAGTCTCCCATTGAAACTCCCCTGCCACATTCCCAGGTCAACACTTCCCCCCCTCCCTGCTGTGTCAAACCTTGTCAAAGGCTTTCTGAAAATCTAAGTACACTCTATCCACTGGATCCCCCTTGTCCACGCACCTGTTGACCCTCTCAGAGAATTCTTGTAGATTGGTGAGGCCTGATTTCCCTTTCAAACGCCGTGTTGACGGCCCCACAATCTGTGTCCATCTCAGTGGCTGGTAATTCTATTCTTCGCTGTCGTTTCCCCTGTTTGCCTGGTGCTGAAGTCAGGCTTCCCGGCTGGGATCTCCTCTGGAGCCTGAGGTGTCTGGTTGAGCCTCCTGCTCTAGCACCCCCGGGCTACCCCCGCCTCCTCCCGAGCCCAGCCCCATGTGGCCAGGCAGCTCTCCTCATGGGATTCCTGCAGGCCCCTGGGCAACAGGGTCCCAGTCTGATGCTGCCATTCCCCTGGGTCTGTTCTGCACTTGCTGAGCCCCCCGAGCGTGGGGACAAGGAGTCCTGTCCCTCCCCTGCCATAGAGGTCTTGCTTCCAGGAGAAGGGCCCGGGACAGCTGTCCTGTGTCCCCCTCACGGTCCCGAGGCTGCACTGGTGCTGCCTGTCACGGACTCACAGGTCGTGCCCACTCTTGGCCCATATGGTCCCTGTGGGGATCCCCCTTCAGTGCGACAGCCCGTCTTGGGGGGCTACTCTCTCTCTCGGGTTAAACCCCTCCATCTCCTAGAGCCTCACCTCTCTGAGCCTCCAGCATGCCTGTCTCTGCCGTGGGCCCCTCAGGGAGTCCACTCGCTCTGGACACCCAGGGCCTCAACTCCCAGAGGGAATAACGCAACCCTGTTCTCTAGACTGGAGCGAGACTGAGCCAGCGTAACACAGGAGGGTTTATTGAGCATCTGACCCCAGCATTGGAAACTCTCAGGGCCCTCAGGCCTGGCCTCCCCCAGCCCAGTACATCTAAGTCTCTCCTGCATCCAGGTGGACTCTGTCTGCTCCCTCTCTCCAGTCCCAAGCCCCCTGCTTCCCAGCTGGGCCTCTGAGATCCCCGGCCCCAAGCCCCCCTCTGTCTATTATCTTCTCTCCAGGTAAACAGGGTCGCCTGGGCCCCCTCTCCCCGCTTCTGTGCTCTGGCCCCTCTGGCCGGACCCGGCTGGTCAGGTCACCGGGGTCCTCTCTCTGCAGCCCATTGTCCTCCCACTGGCCAGACCCGGCTGGGACTCCTGAACTGGGCCTCCCGGTCCCCAGTCGCTGGGGTCTCCGTTCTCCAGGCCATTGGCCGGGGTCCCAAGTTCCCTCGCCGGTCCTGTGTCCCGACAAACTCCCTCTCCCATCCCCTCGTTAAACCCGTAACACCCAGGGAAACTGAGTCCCACCCCCTCTGTATGCAAACCATAGGAAAACCAAGAAAAAACCAAGGGAACCCCCAAGTTAGTCACACTGCTGTAGCAGGGAAACCTCTGGCCATGCCCCGACTTGGCTTGCAGGTTGTCCCAGACTTGCAGGCTGGGTGCTTGGGAACCACGCTAAGAAAAGCCAGCCAGGGCTCTGGGGCAGCGTCTCCCCTCAGGGCCACTCACCAGGGCCAGGAGCCTTCCTGGCTTCAGCGCCTCCTGGGTCTGACCTCGGAGCATTTAGCCCCCGGCTCCCCACCCCACAGCGAGTCCCCCTGGACAGGACCCCTGGGGAGCCTCACACCCCCCCAAAGGGCCCTGCCCCCCCCACTCCCAGCCAGCATGGAACACAGACGGGTTATTAGTCGTGGGGACTCCAGCGTAGGACAGAGCTTGTGAGCACAGAAATCGGGGACCTGCCGCAAAGTCCAGCTTGGGGGGATCCAGGGCCCAGACCTCTGGGTGCCCCCTTCCCCACCAATACCAAACCAGGAGACTGACCCCTTCTAGCAGCCCAGCCTCCGTCACCCCCAGGTGACCCCCTGCGGCCCTTGTCTGCTTCCTGGGCAAACAGGTCCCCTGGTCTCTGTTCTCCAGCACGCCGGCTGGCTCTGGCAGGGGAGGGGCCCGGCTGTCAGTTGCCGGGATTCAGGGTGTCGGCTGGTCTCTGTGCCCCGTTAGCCACTCAGCGTCACACCTGCCCTCTAGGGGTCCCTGCAACGATCACACCCCCTGTCCCACCACCTAGATACTTGAGTAACACACAGGGGGAACTGAGGCACACACAATATTCAGAGAAAAGATTAAGAAAGTTCCCGCTTGGTCACACAGGTACCTGCAGGAGTATGCGGCGCTGGGCACCGGCGGTGGCATCTATCACTTCCGAGACCAGATCCTGTCGGGTGGCCCCGAGGCCTTCTTCGTCCTCAATGCAGACGTGTGCTCGGAGTTCCCCCTGCCAGAGATGCTGACCTTCCAGCAGCAGCGTGGAGACCCGCACGGCTTTGTCATGCTGGGCACCACGGTGAGCGGGGAGCTGCCCTGGGTTCCCGCGGCAGGTGGCCGGCTGGGAGCCTCGGGACACCTCTGCCCAGGTTCCTTGGGCATGGAGCCCGCTGACGCTGTCCCCTTTCCACAGGCCAACAGGAAGCAGTCCCTGAACTACGGCTGCATCGTGGCCAACACAGAGACGTGTGAGGTAAGGGGCTGGGGCCACATGGGCAGCGCTGCCCATGCTGGGTGGTGGCCGTGCTGTGGGCGCCTTGGCCCGTGTGGGGCAGGAGCATTGTGTGCTGTGGCCCTGATGCAGCATTGCTCTCCCAGCTACCTGTGTCCAGTTCCCAGCATTCGCCCTGGCTGGTGCCCGGTGGGGTGGCACTGGCGAGCCAGGTTGGGGCGCTCATGGCACCTTGTCCCCCAGGTCCTGCACTATGTGGAGAAGCCCAGCACCTTCGTCAGCGAGATCATCAACTGCGGCATCTACCTGTTCACACCCACCATCTTCCAGCACATCGGCGAGGTCTTCCAGAGGACCCAGCAGGAGCTGCTCCTGTGAGTGCCCCCCCCCCCTTCCCGGCCTGGTGCCTGGGGCTGCAGCCACCACGTTCATCTTCCATCTCTCTCTTTTCCCACCTTCTCTCCTCCTCTGCCATCCTCACTCGCTGCCTGACCTGCACCAGGTGCTCTTGCCTTGGGTAAGTCTCTGTCGCCCCTCTCCCAGCCTGCGGCAGTATCTGGGCGTGTGTGCCCTGCATGGGGCATTTATTGCCAGCTCCCTCCCGGAGCCCCACTTCGCCGCTCCCTGCTTCCGCCTGCTGCTCCGCTAAAGCCCTGGTGCTGAGCTGGGATCGGGCTCCTGGGCATTTGGGGGACAACGGCCCTGGGTGCCCCCCAGCTCCCTGCACTGTTGCATCACAGGGCCCAGGGCTCACCCTGCAGCAGGGACCCTGACACAGGCCGTTCCCAGCCACACTGTCTGTGCAGGGGGACAGGTGGGAATTCAGGGCGGAGGAGAAACCCATCTCGCCCTGAAAAGCACCTGCTGCTGGGGCGGGAAGGGCTCTGATGCTGGATGTGTCGCTCTCCGGGGCGCTTATGAGGTGCTTCTGACCTGCCAGCTCTGTCCCTGCCGGGGGCCCAGGCTGTGCCTGTCTGGGCCAGCCGCGGACACAGCCAGCCGAGGTGCTGGCAGTCAGGGGTGGGCTCGGAGCACAGGGCTGGGGAAGGAGCCGGTGCCGTGCGTAGCACCTGCCCTGGATGGAGGCGGAGAGTGGGCAGCCCTCGGGTTGGCCACGCCAGCTGCCAGCGGATCTGGTCTCGCCCCACTGGGCCCAAGCAGAATCTGGCTCGGGGCCATGGCCAGGCTGTTCCCTAGAGCAGCCATAACCCTGTGTTCCCTTTGGCAGCCCCCTCCCATGGCTCCCTCTGCCCTTCTGCAAAGTGGGGAGGGGCAGGTGGTAAGTGCTGGGGCTGCTGGATTCCTGCTGGCACCGCTGCCCACACCTGGGGCCTGCAGAAGGGGCCCTGGCTGCTGGCAGAGGGAGCTGGGATTTCGGCAGCCCAAGCCCTGCTCTGCTGCTCAGGTGCATGGCCATGCCGGGGGCAGTAATCCCGGCTCAGCCCCCCAGCAGAGCCCTCGCCCTCACCCCGTGCCTCTCGCCTGGCAGGGAGGAGAGCAGCAACGGCTGGCAGCGGGCCGAGGTGATCCGGCTGGAGCAGGACGTCTTCACGGCGCTGGCCGGGCGCGGCAAGCTCTACGTCTACAAAACCGACGGGTTCTGGAGCCAGATCAAATCGGCTGGGTGGGTGTTGGCTGGCAGGGCGGGGGAGCGGGTGGGCAGCAGTGTCCCTTGCACTGTTCGGAGCTGGGCTCAGTTCAGGGCTGGTCCAGTCGGGGGGTCCCTGTCGAAGCCCCGGAGGAGCAGCCTCGCCGCTAGGAACTGCCTGACTGTGGTGCCGGCCCCGCGGGGCGCTTGCCCGGCTGGCTCCTTCGGATGCTGCGAGGTGGGGCCTGGTCACTGATTCACTCCTTTCCCCCCAGCTCTGCCATCTACGCCAGCCGCCTGTACCTCAGCCAGTACAGCCAGCGCCACCCGGAGAGACTGGCCCGGGACAGCCCCGGGGGGCCCACCATCCGAGGTACCCTCCCACGCATGGCCCCTGCCAGCTCGGCCTGGGCACGCTGCTAGCTGAGCCCTGCGTGCCACGGGCCGGAGCCGGCTCCCCTCTCGCCACGAGGGGTCCCAGCCGGGGATGAGACCCGTGGGCGCTAGGCCTGCCCTGTGGGCACAGGGGGGTCTGCAGGGCAGTGGCTGTGGCTGGGCTCTGGGCAGGTCCTCTCCCTGCCTAGCCCAGAGGGGGGTGGGGTAGACCCACATCCCCTCACCCTGGTTTGTGTTGCAGGGAACGTGTACATCCACCCGACGGCTTCCGTCGACCACAGCGCCGTGGTGAGTGCAGGGCTGGGGCTGGGCCGGCCCTGGGGGGGCAGCGTGTTTCCAGCGCTGGCCTGGAGGGGGGTTTCTCTGGGCCGGCTTTGGGGGGGGGCAGCGTGTTTCCAGCGCTGGCCTGGAGGGGGGTTTCTCTGGACCAGCTGGGCGGATGCTGCTCATTGCCTGCCCTGCTGTCTCGCTCCAGCTGGGCCCCAATGTCTCCATCGGGAAGGGGGTGACGGTGGGAGCCGGCGTGCGTGTGCGAGAGTCCATCATCCTGCACGGGGCATCGCTGCAGGTAGGGGCGGGCCCCGCTGGGGGAGGGCAGGGGGGCGCCCGTCAGTCCCCGGCTTTGGGCAGAGATGGCAGCGTGAGCCTCTGTTCCTCTGTTCCCCAGCTCTGCCGAGGCCCCTCTGTCCTGGGCAACCCCACAAAACCCCCCACTGCCCAGCTCTGGGGCCCCTCACTTCCGACCCACAGCACCCTGCTAGCCCAGCCCTGACCCCCCCCCACCCTCCGAATTCTGGCTGTGCCCCTCATTCCCAACACACGGCCCCCTGCTAGCCCAGCCCTGGGCTCCCACCTCTCCTCTGCCGGTGCCCCGCACTCCCGACCCGCAGCCCTGCTGCTACAGGCCACTAGACTACTGCACCTCATTTCTCTGGCTCCCCACCCAGAGGCCAGGCTGTGCCCAGGGCTGGTGCCCCCTCTGTGATCTGTCTGAGCTGCAGCACCCCTCACCCTGTGCCACCCTCTCCCCAGGATCACACCTGTGTGCTCAACAGCATTGTGGGCTGGGACAGCACCATCGGGCGCTGGGCCCGGGTCGAGGGGACGCCCAGCGACCCGAACCCCAACGACCCCTACGCTAAAATCGACAGTGAGACCCTCTTCAGGGACGGCAGGCTGACACCCTCCATCACCATCCTGGGTAGGTCTGACCCCCCCGCCCTTGGCCTCTGCTCTGCTCCCCGGGACCTGGCTGTGGGGGGTGCATGGGGGGCAGCCTCGGGTCCCCCAGCTGTGATTTTCCTGTGGGGCGGGGCCTCCGGCTCGCCCCCAGCTGACAGTGGCTCTGGTCTCCCCACGCAGGCTGTAACGTCACCATCCCCGCAGAGGTCGTGATCCTCAACTCCATTGTCCTGCCCCACAAGGAGCTGAGCCGCAGCTTCAAGAACCAGATCATCCTGTGAGGGGCCCGCTGGGAGCTGGGGACCGACGGCCTCCCCCTCCGGCTCAGGGTTCTCAGGCGGCCCCGGCCTGTGCGTGGCTCAGCTCCCCCTGAGGTCCAGCTAGCTGCTCTGGCCAGGCCATGCCCTGGGCCTGTCCAGCCACTCCATAGACAGACATTAACGCCCACTGAACAATTGCATCAGCCCCTTCCCTGTGGGGTGGATCTGGTCCCCTGCCCTGCTCAGCCCAGCCCGGAAACCTGCTCCCTGGGGTGTCACAGCCCGGCCGAGCCGGCACCAGCCCCACCCTCTGTCCGTGGGCCCAAGGCCGGGCCTGTGGCTGTGTTTGTCCTGCCCCTCGAGCCCCCCTGGCCAGGCTACGGGGCGCTGGGAGGGGGTTGTCGGGTCTGCACCGTCCTTGGCCAGGCCCTGCAGCGTTAAACTGGGCGCCTCGCTGAAGTCACGTGCAGGCTGCTGGCGCATGGGCTGTGATGGCTGCCGGGGCCAGCAAACAGCATCCGGCAGCGAGACCTTCCCTGAGCAGGAGGAGAAGGAATCCAGCCTGCGGCCAGCCCTTGTGTGATGAAGTGGGACTGTTCTTAATGTTTCCTCTGAATAGTGTGGGGGTGCCTCAGTTTCCCCTAGGCAGTTCTTAAGTCTCTAAGGGGTGGGGTAAGGGGGTATGGTCGTTGCAGAGCCCTAGAGGGCAGGTGTGTGCAGGGCTCTGGACACAGAGAATGGCCAACACCCTGTTTCCTGGCCACTGATGGCCTGGGCCCTTCCCCCCTGCAAGGTGAGAGCTGAAGGGTTGGAGAACAAAGGAATCAGGTGACCTCCTGGCCCGGGACAGGGGCAAAGCCCAGAGGAGGAGGGGCTGGAGGGAGTTTCAGTTTGGGGCTGGGTGGTGGAAAACAGGGAATCCCAAGGCTGGAGTCTAAGCTCCCTGCCCCCCAGAAGGACTTGACTGAGGGGTCCTGGGTGTACCCAGAAGCTCTGTTTTAGACGGTGTTGCTATTGTCCAATAAACCTTCTGTTTTACTGGCTGGCTGAGAGTCCCGGTGAATCCCAGGAAGAGGGGTGCAGGCCTCGGACTCCCCCACACTCCGTGACACTTTTTCCACGTCCACCTATGGAATCGCAGCAGAACTGGAGCAGGCCCCTGTGGGGTTAAAACGCCAGGCTGGCAGGCGGCCCCCATACTGGGAAGGGGGTGGGGGTATCCTGGGTGGCCCTGTGGGCTAGCAAGGGCCAGCTCAGCGGCCGGGGGGGGCAAAAGGGGCAATGACGGTAAAGCACAGTGCTTTAATGTCGGCTGTGTACAGGCCGGTACCGGCGGCCACTTCTTACCGGTGCACCGAACTGCCCTGTCACCTCTGCAGGGATCTCAGCAGCCCAACACTGCCTCTGCCTCGCAGGGGGGCGGGCCGGGGCCGGGCTGGGGTAAAGGCACTCGCAGGATGTGACCGTCTCGGGGGGTTGGCCCTGGTGCTGCGCGCGGGTTGATAGATAAAATGAACGCGGGGCTCGTTACATGGATCAACGGCTGGGGAATGGCCGGTTCTCCCCGTGGCTTGTAAATGGCGACTCGGCATTGGGCAGGTGTGTTTCCCGGGGGCCCTGCTGGGCCGGGTTCTTGACCCTTCTCTGTTCAACGTATTTATCAGTGACCTGCAGAGCGAGCTGGATCCCCTGGTAACCGGCGCCAGCAAACGCTCTGTGTTTCAGTGCAGGGAGCTGTAACTGAGTGCAGCTGGGAGCCGAGTGCGGGCCCTACGGACCGGCGAGGGGAGTCGCTCCTGGGGGGCATGGTGGAGAACCAGGGCGCCGCTGGCCAAAGGGGTCCTGCCAGCCTGGGCTGCACAAAGGAGGAAATTGCAGGGAGGTGATTTTACCTCTGTGTGGGGCCCTGCTGGAATCCGGGGCCCGGTGCTTGTGCCACCGTTCCAGGGGATGTGGCTAAATTGGAGAGGGGGCAGAGAAGAGCCACGCGAATGGCTCAAGGATTAGAAAACACATGTTCCAGTGAGACTCCAGGAGCTCTGTGTTCAGCTGCACAGAGCCGGGAAGGGGGTCTTGAGCCCAGGTGACATCGACAGGGGAACAAACGTTATGCTGATAAGAGGCACACAGGATCGTTTTCAAGGGAAAAGGCAACAGGCTGTGTTCGTTGAAGATACAATAATTCACATGTGTGTTCAGTCACGCACACGCTGTCCCGCCAGTCGAGGTTCTAGTTTCCAGGCCCTAGTCCGGATCAATCTAGTGGCCAGCTCGGTTGATCACGGGTAGGGAGGAGCCAGGTTCTGTCGGTTGCAACACGATGCTCTGGGGAGGTCTTGGCAGGACGAACCCAAAGTTTCATGGCAAGGCACCTGGTTTATATAGTGATCTTCCTTCATTGGGACCAATGAGTTTTGCACTGTCATGCTGTAATCAATCGCTGTTTGACAAGTGCTCGTTTTCTTAAATTGTCCTTCTCATCCTTGATCTTGTTCTTTCATCAGTCTCTCAGGGAGTTGCCCCAGGCTGGTTTTGATCACAGCTATCTTGTGTCCAATAAACCTTCCGTTTTACTGGCTGGCTGAGAGTCCCGGTGAATCCCAGGAAGAGGGGTGCAGGCCTCGGACTCCCCCACACTCCTGCCAGTGTGAGGTGCCTGCCAATAGGAGTCATCAATAGGGGCGTTTTAATCTCCTGGCACCCTTGCATCTGTCTCCAGTTCCTCCCTAGAACATCTGGTCCGGTGAGGCCTTTACACTTATCTTCTCACACACACATTCCTCATTCACACACAACACAGGATTGATTTACACAGAACATTTGAATGGGAACATCAAATTGCAATGCAGGAGAAAACAATCATGGCATTCTTTTACTTATTTCAAAATACTAAACCTACAACAATGTGGTGACCCTAAAAGGTCTGTCACTGCCTTGAAATCAGCTCAGACACAGATTCTGGCTGATGCATCTCTACCAGTGGCCCACGAGGCCGTTCCTGTCTGCCGTCAGAAAGGGTGGCTGGCAGGATCTGGTCAAATCCTACGTCAAGACATTGAATACATGCCCTATTATTTTTTATCCTTCATTTTAAATTATACAAAATACAAACATAAAATCCTCCGCCTACCCAAATAGCGCATGGCTGGCTCGCCAGGCTGGCAGACAGAAGGCCGCACGCGCTCCCAGGCTGGGTGTTGCTGCAAAGCGCAGTCAGACTAGCAGACTCGTGTTTAACAAGGGGGGAATTTACCCCAGAACAAGTTCCAGAGCGTGGTGGGCGATGCGCCAGCACCGGCCTGATGTTTTTCCAGACACCTGCCCCCGCTGGCGGGAGTTCATACGGGGCCAGTTTCTGCCTCCCCGTGCAGGAGGTCGGCTGCGATCTGCCCCAGGGTCCCGACGTCCCTACGTGATGCTCTGGAATGGCTCCCCATGAAGCCAGTCAGGACTCTGGGCCAGTTGCCTTCCTGTGAGCCTCCTGTCTGCAGGACACACAGCTCTCCCGGCTTCTACCTTCCTGGGTCTCACCTCGGAGCATTCAGCCTCCTCTGCCCCTTCGTGTGCTTCCCACAGCCAGTCCGTCCTGGGGGGGGGCCAAAGAGTCCTGCCCCCTAACTCCGCAGTCAGACATGACACTCAGCCAGCCGGGAAAAGGGAAGGTTTATTAGATGACAGGATCCCAGAGCCAGGGCTCTGGTCCTCCTGCTGTGCTCCAAGGCAGCCAAGACCGACTCCTTCCAGCTGCCTGGCCCCTGCCCATTTCTCCTCTGGCCTTTGTCTCGCTTCCCGGGCCAAGAGTCACTTGGTCGCATCCCCCTCCTAGGTCTCAGGCTATGAAGGGGCGGCCAGAGCATCCCTGCAGGCAGCTGGAGCAGCCTCTGCAAAAGTCACACACGCTTATTCCCACCACCCAGACAATGGTGCACTATGCAGGGAAACTGAGGCACACACAGCATTCATGCAAACCAGTAACATACACCATAAGGGGAAATCTCCACTTTGCCACACCCCCATGTGGGTTTGGGGGTTTAATAGGAATTGCATCTAAGCAGCCCTGGGCCGAGCCTGGCCTTACTCAGTGCATGGGCTGGGCATGAACCCGGAGTGAGGGGTGGTGAATGAAGCGTGTTTGGGGGGTGGTGGTTTATGTGTCAGGGAGGAGACTGTGGCCCTGGGGGGGCTCCCTGCCCTGGTGGCAACCCACTGGGGGCCTGAAGCAGGAATCTGTCTCCCCCATAAAAAGACTATAGCACCCCTCCCCACAATTGCTTAGTCTGCCTTGGGCTCAGTGTTCCCACCTGCTGTGGGGTAAGGCACAAGAGCCAGTGTCTCCCAGCAGGGCTCACGCCCCACAGCCCGGCCACCGCCCCCACCCTCAGCCCTGTCGCTGGCCCCCTGACATTTGTCTGCTGAAGTGGAGCATGGAAAATGCCGGGCACAGCCCAAGGGGGCAGGCGGCACCCCTGGCACCTGGGGACCAGCGCCAAGCCCCTCGGGGAGGGGCTGGAGACCAAAGCCCCCAGGGATTGGCTGCCTGTAGCACCCGCAGCTGATAAGCTGCCTGCCCAGGCTCCCCGCCTGCGGGGACAAAGGCAGCCCCGGGCCGTGCAGCGAGCACAGCCAGAAGGGATGGGGCCAGAGCCCCTGTCCTCGTGGGGCGGGGGGGGATGCAGAACCTGGGAGCTTGGCTCTGTGCGGCGGCGTGGGAATGTGTAGCAATAATGTGTGTGCCTCAGTTTCCCCTATGAGCTGCATGGGTAAAGGGGAGGGGGGGGGTTGCTCTTTGTAGACACCAGCAAGTCGGCAGGTGTCTGGGCCAGGCCCCTTGTAGCTCCCCAAAAACAACGGCCACACCGTTACCTGGACCTTTGGTGCCAAGCGGCTAATGCCCCTGTCTGCCCCACTGTGTCGGGGGAGGCAAGGGTTGTTCAGGGGGGCTGCTGGACGCAGGAGTCTCTTTTGACCTGGGCCTGGGGGCGGGGTGCAGAGGGCTCTGGCCTGACCCAATGGCCTTTGCTGTAATTGCCATTCTCCCTGGTAACGAAGGGCTCTGTACTATGGCTAATAACCCCCTGCTGCCGTCACCCCCCTCCTGCCCCGGGCTGAGAGTCCCTGCGGGGTCAGCAGGGTGCGGGGGCTTTGCTCCCCCGGGGGTACACGGCTCCCTGCTCCGTCCAGCCCCGGTGGACTCGCTGGGGGGTCACGGTGTGACCCAGGGGTGCTGGCGGTTTGCAGGGTTGGTCCCAGGAGGCAGGGAGCTGAGGGGCTGGCCCGAGGGCATGCGTGGCCTGAAGGGGGCTGGCGCACGGCCGGGCTCCCCCCCAGAGCCAGAGGCGGGCACCAGGCCGGTGGATCCGGGACCCCTCTCCTTGTGAAGCCTGACTTGGGCGCCTGGCTCAGAGGTGCAGGCTGCTGAAGTTCACCCTGACCCTAACGCTGCGTACCCCCGGCCCCCCGGCTGCATTCGGGGGGTTGGCCTCACCCCACCCCCTGGCACCTGCAGCGAGCCCCGGAGCTGCCCCACAGGAGCCCGGCTCGCTGGGCCCAGGGCGGCTGGTAACCGAGGCCTGGAGCCTGCTGAGAAGGAGGCGAGACCAGGGCCTGGATGCCCAGCAGGGCAGGAGCCGCCGCGACCGACTGTGGGCCCAGCCCTACGGCCTCCCCCAGCAGGGCCCCAGGCTGCCCGGCCGCCTGCGTCTGGCCTCTCCTCCCCGGGCCGCTGGCTTTGCCGGCCCACGGCCCCAACTGGGGCAGGCGCAGGACAGCGGAGCAGAGCTGGGGATGGGCCCCGGAGCCGGAGGTAGAACCAGGAGCGGGACCCGGGCTGCTCTGCCCAAGGCTGCCACCCCCGGGGGCTGCTCGGGCCATGGCCGGGGGCCGGAGAACCAGGCCTGGGAGGGCCCCGGCCCCCAAGGGGCAGCCCAGGAACCCACAGCCCCAGCGAGATCCCTGCAGGGGGGACAGCGCTGAACGGGCAGGGCTGGCGGTGCCCCCATGCATGGCTGGGGGGGCTCCTGCCCCTCCTCCCCCCACCT